TTAAAATAAATAATAAAATTAAAAAAAAAGTGTAACGAGACGAAGATGAATGGAACTAACTAACGTTAGTTCTCTTTCATCATCCTTCCGGTAAATCTATCCAACCGCACCCGATCGCACCTGACCGCATTTACCACCCTACCCCATCCCCGTCCACCGCATTCCTCAAGTCTCCGCGCTTCACCGCGCCACCAACGGTAATGGCTTATTTCTGCTCAGTTCTCAACGCTTATTTGAAATGTTAAAAATTGTACTGCACTCTTATAAATAGCATGAAAAGTGAAAAAAAAAAACAAGTTTAACCTTCTTGTTGTAAGCCGAAACAGCAATAACAATAACCATAACAACAACCAAAAGCAAAAAAGATAAGAGAAAAACACATAGAAAAGATAAATAAAAAAAAAAAACGTAAAAAAAAAAAGAAAAATGTCCAAGAAAAGCGTCAGAAACAGTGTAAATGCTATGCTAAAACAGTAAATCAAACTGGTGAAAGCTGTTTGTGTGTGTTTTTGTGTTGTAATGGCAATCACAAAATAAAGATAGATCGCTTTGAATTATTTACCAATTTTGACCGCTAAATAAAATCGCTTTTGAAATGGTTGTGTTTTTTTCTTCTTCTTCTGTTTTTCTATTCATTTTTCTCTTCCTGCTTCATTTTTTGGTTCTCTTTGTTCTTCCCCCTCACCCATCCCACAGAATTCCTCTGCAAGATGTTTAGTTTAGATAGTTCTAAGCTTTTTTTTCTCTTTTCTTTTACTTTTCGGTAAATATCGTTAGTTTTAGTAATAGTAGAAAACTGCGCGACAACAGTTTGAGCAGAACAGAACAACAACAGAAACAAATGACTATAACTATAATAAAATTCAGAATTCTTTAGGACAAAAAAAAAAACATTTTTAGTCGAGAAATCGTTTTATGTAACTGCATTAATATAGGCTGCAGTCAATAAGCAACATATTAACTGACTGCGAAAGATAAACTAATTGATCGTCAAGAAACAGGTAAATATATCAAATGACCGATATTAAAAGCTTTCACTGTACTATTCTTTCTGCCGCTTAACTGTAGTAATCAATTGAATTGCTGAAAAATCTTAAATATTTTAAAAATAAAATTTAATCCATAAGTTAATTAATCATTATACAGCTGCCAAAAAAGATGCAAAAAACCGAAGACTGATACAACACAAACACAAAAAAAAAACTAATTAAAAAATTGATCAGAAGAACTTGTAAAAGCTATTCAAAAATCTTAGTTTTAAGCCCAAAGCCAGAAGAATAAAAGAAACGTTTTAATACCTATAACATAGTAAATAAACGTTGCCAGATAATCAAAACTGAATTTATATGTCAATTTTTCTGGTGCTTCTGCTGCTGCTGGTCTGTTCAATTTCATAGATATTGTTTTTTAGAAGATCATTTCGCAAAGCATGAATTTTGAAAGAACTAAGAATGTTAACCAAAATAGATAAAAATCTATAGAGAAATTAGTTTATGTTAACCAATTTTTGATACTATTTAGTAATCACTACAGAATGATTTAGTTCTTAAGCAACACCAAAAACAGCTATTGAACGTAACTTGAAAAAAAACAAAAACAGAAAGGAAAAAAGGAAAGAAATTGATAAGTGGAAAATATTTTGTGGTTAGCAATTTTTTCTTGGTTTTACTGAGTTCATTTGTCAGTGGAATAATTTTCGTTTTTTTTCTTTTTTTTTGAGCTTCTTTTCTTTTGCCTGACAAAAATGTTCTTTTTTTTTGCTTTTTTTTTTTTTCAGGATAAGAATCATGTAAACCATATCAGTGTATAACGCATGCAAAAAACGTTTGCTGTTGTTCATTTCTTTATAAATGATTAAGTAAATCTTCAACTATAAATATTTATAGAAAATACCAAAAAAAAATAAAAAATAAAAAATGGTCAAAATCTATCATCATCTTTGTTCAACTTCATATACAATTAAGAAAAACCAAAATTAGTACAGCATTAACGGCAGCAGCAGCAGCAGCAGTATGAAAAACAGTATCAGCTTTGGTATCAGTATCAGTATCAGTAGCAGCAGCGGCAGCAGTAGCAGCAGCGGCAGCAGCAGTAGCAGCAGCAGTAGCAGCAGCAGCAGTAGTAGTATAGGCATCAGTACCAGTTTTGGCACTAACAGTAGGAGCAATAGCAGCAGCAGAAAAGAAAGGAGAAAACGATAATGAGAAAAATAAAAAAAAAAAATAAATAATATTTTTCTTCTTCAGAAATTAACGAACTCGGAAAGCAAGTAAACAGCAATAAAAGCAGTGAAAACAAAAAAAAAA